GTCATCAGCACTTTTGGGTTGACAGAAGGAGACTAGTCGGTATACGAAGCTCTCTCTTACACAGGGAGATTAACGAGATGATGCCATCTACTAGCGGCACCTGGGGGTACCGAAGAAGAAATGTCATGGTCATGGGAAACAATAATGCCTAACTCTTTCCAAGAAATGTTTACAGTCTCAAGGTAAGTTCCTGCAAGACCAATGTCCTTCAGTTTCTTTACATTTCTTTACAATGCTGATATCTCAACAACGAATCAAGTCCGGAAGAGACGTAGTCTGCGTTGGAGACCTCGAGAAGTGAGTGGCGGCCTACTACTCTACTCCTGTTAACGATTTACCGCTTTGCTGACACCACGGCTCAAACCCTCCAGTAGATTCGTATCGAAACAATGTCACACTAAACGAGCTGAATGAGCAATAGTATCTACAGTGGGTCTCCATATTGAAGACGTTGTATGTACTTGATGACTAAATCAATCCAGGCCTGGAAGTTCTTGCTTTCATTCCCCTGTCCCAGCACGCGGCATGACTTAAAAGTAAGTCGCGCCCTTGGGTACCTTACTCGTACAGTGACTAAGCCCTACGGTAGTGCGGCTTCAACGATTCATGTGCTTACTTGGCTGATTCTCTATCCACCGAGGTGATCTTCATTTCTCTAACTAAAACCGGGTGACCAATTGGACGATTTCCTTTATATCTTTAACCATGCCCTTGCTGCTGCGAGAGACTCGGCCCCCTTGTCGCTGTCAATCGAAATTCCGAAGAGCCATGTCATTGACATAGCACTCACATCAAAGCAGTCTTTCCGGAGTAAATAGCCCAAGCAGGACTACCCAGGAGCCTAGCATGCTCCATGTGTAAGCAGCGTAAGATCAAGGTAAATGAGTGCACTTGGTCGGTTGGCGCTTGCCATTGTCACTGGTGACTAACATGGCTGAAGTGCGATCTTGCCAGTCCAGCTTGCTCACAGTGCATGAAATCCAAATGGACCTACCCAGGCTACGCTTCTCCTAAGCTCGGATTCTGGGACGAAACGTGGGCAATCAGTCAGCGACATGGACCCGCTACTACCCGTGCAGGCGGACCCGGTGCAGTCTAAGATGTGGCTCGACACCTGGCCCACTTCAACCAGCAGCAAGCTTTTCTCAACATACACGTTTCGGATTCTTGATCGACTCGCCTGGCATCATTCCTGATAGCGCATCTCAGTCCAGAAAGCTATGGTAGCTATAACTTGGAATCTCTAAGCGGCCACTTTGTCGTCCACATTCCCTCTCAAATCGGCCATAACGCAGGGCTTGATAGTGCTGTGAGGTGCATATGCATATCACACTCCATGTTTCCGAAGCATATCCTAGAGGATAGACATTGTATGCGGAGACTTTATTTAGAGGCTATCTTTCAGTTGCGGGAAGCTCTTCGACGACCAGTCGTAGAGGAGACTCCAGATATTCTGCGCACCAGTATTCTCTTGAGGCTTTTTGAGGTGATTCCTAGCGCTAGCCACCCTTGCCATTTGGCGCTGCTGATGAGGGTGATATGCTCTAGTCGTTCTCTTTTGCTCCGCCAGGCTCCCATGGCACCCCACAGGAAGGATGGCTGTTCCACACGCGGTGGGTGAGGAAAAGATTGCAGCAACGTGCTGCAGTTGGAGACTTGATGTCTCTCTCTCGAGAAATACCCCGGTCGTCTTGGGGGGCCATAGTAAATCATGTTTGCATAACACTCTCAAATGGTCCAAATCTAATCCCACTCAGATGGTTGAAGCACTCAATGCGGTCAAACCTTGCATTCTTGATAGGGCGCCATGGAACGACCCGTTGATTGAGCAGTATTCGGGGTGTAATCAAGGCTTCATGAAAGATCAAAATGCTCTCTGGTCTCGACTTGTACGACTGCCTCGCTTGATATCTGACGTGATCGAGTACAGTCGATCCGATGGGACTAATAAAGAGATGAATCGGGGGCTTCGACAGCGCGCTCACGAACTACCTACAGATCTGGATCTGTCTTCCCTCGAACGTTCCTCGTTAGAGAGCCTGCAGCTGGAATGCCATAATTCGAACGCTGAGACATTAGCAAGGACATACGGCGTTATCGTTGCCACACATTATGTGTGCATCCTTTCGGCAACTGTCATTCTCATAGATCGCCTTATTCAATTTTTGAACAGAAAAGGCTGCGCAATGACGGGCGAGGTGCTTGGCCTAACAAACAGCTTTCCACAGAAGAGTTTGCATTGAGAGACATGTTGCGTGCCAGCTACGCCTAGTGGAACGCATTTTCTCAGGCCTTTGCACACAATAAACACGCAGACATAATGTGGAGTGCGTCTTTTGAGTCTGTCGATGGATTAGATGATCGGGGTACCTGGGAAGAAATCACAAGCGGTCCTGCATTACTGGGCTGCCAAGACTTTAACGAGCAGAGCGCACTTTTCCGCCATGCAGTCATCTTCAAGTAGGTCGTTGCCTAATATATCGAGACCAACACGCATCAGAAAGAGATCTAGCTGACCTCCATGTAGGATCATCCTCAAGATTTCATAACGTCGCGCCCCTGGATATGGATCCTCTTCCTGGCTCTGTCCAGGCCCAGCTGAACATCATAACGTGGACTATCCCGACGAGAAAGTTTCGATTTAATGTGGGACGCGGGCCACGACTTCGGGCAATATTAGAGAGCCCCTTTTACCTCCCTAGAAGAGGCATCACGCGATGGGGTCTCAAAGTGCGGGAATCGTAAATAAATTGGGGGATGCGAGATAAAGTTAGGCTATGCGAAGCAGCCAGTCGGGTACGAGTAAGAGTAATTCTCATGCGATTCTACTGAGTACAGCCATAACTTTCACCGAACAGCTTCTTGTTCTTCATTTCATGTTCTCACCATCATGACCGGATACAAAAACTCCGTCCCTTTTAATGTCAAAGCTATTTCAGCCGCAATTTCTGAACACGAATTCCTTCCCAGTGCTCTGATTAGAATATAGTAAAGGTCAATGTATCTGGTCAGTCTGTGCGATTTATCTAATAGAGAGGCGACTTACGCACTTGCTAACCAAGACTAACGCTTGAAACACTTTTGGGCGCTCGCTTCACCGGTCTGTTGCGGAGAACACTTCGTACTATCCCGCCGCTGATGGTTTGCATATACTAGAAAGACGGATACTCATAGCCTAGCGAGCCCGTATACATATCCCTTCAGTATCAGAAAGCATCGCCAACCGGATGTCTCCACGCGCCGTTGTTTTTCTCATCATCACCTCCTCATCCGGCTCTCCCACAAAATCGGCTAGAATGTAGAGGACCACACCTAAGGACAGATCCATAACAAAAGCCTCGGCAGCTCGAACGAAATGATGAACATCGATCACGAATGTAGTAGGTTTGCTAACCACTGGATGGTGAGACAGCTTGCATAACAAGACGGTAGGGCAAAGCTGAGCACATTCTTTCCTCAACCGGCGCACGGATATAATAATAAGCACTACGGCTCGCTCGTGTGCTCCAATCCTAGCTCTCAATGGTAGGATTCGATGAGATTCGCTAGGCGGTCTCGTTGAATTTGTATATATCAACACAGATTCCTTAATATTGACTTCACATCAACATTTCAGCCACTGTCTCGTTTCCTTGAGCATTTTGTCGAGTACACCTCGTACATCATGTGCAACCTTTTTTATCTTAGTGCTATGCTTCTAGCAGTCACTGCAATCCCAGCTCATTCAGACTTCGACCCCCCCTGTGGTCGACCTTGGATATGTCGTCCAGCGCGCGACTACTTTCAACGTAGGCTTCCTTTGCTCGGAGCTGCCAGTGATCTTTCTCCTGACAGATTTTGCGTTATGTAGCATACAAGTGGCGTCTACAATCTCTCAAATATCCGTTACGCTCAGCCACCCATTGGGGAGCTTCGCTTCCAAGCTGCTCGAAGCCCCGAGAAAAATCGGACTATCCAAACCGGAGCAGACGGTCACATCTGTTATCAAGCAACCCCAAACTAGTTCAATTCAGTCCCGGCCGTGACACCTCAGCTCTTGGGTGGGGAAGTAAACTCGACCTTCGTCCATGCGTCCGAGCATGCAGAACCCCTTTGACCTACACACGTACCTCCTCCAATGCCTCAAGAATCCGAAGACCGCTTGTTCTTAGACGTCCATGTCCCTAAGAAAGCCTTTAGTGACAGACATGCCGGTGATGGTGCAGTGGTGATCGTTTGGATCCATGGCCGCGGACTGACCCTTGGGCGGAAAGATCAGAATTACGACCCAGCTGGGCTGTTGGCACAAAGTGTGCTTCAAACCGAAAGAGAGTCTATCTTCGTGGCTCTCAACTATCGGGTGATTTTGCCATCGTAGAAACGTCTCTGAAGACTGCTGCCGAAGAGTAATTGGGCGCTTTTGGATGGTCAGGAGGACCATTTTGACAATCCGACGGCACCGCGAACGCTGGTCTCCTCGATCAACATTTTGCTCTCGAGTGGGTTCAAAAGAATATTGAATCATTTGGAGGAGACCCAGAGAAGGTGACACTGTAAGTGACGCCATAATATATTGGTATCATGATTACTTACTACGACATCAGCGTCGGTGAATCTGCTGGAGCTGCGTCGATCTTCGGCCATCTGACTTCCTATGGAGACCAACATAGCCTATTTCCTTTCCAGCAATCCCTAACACAAAGCTCATACGGATTCGCAAGTGCACCAAGCGTTGGCGAGCATGCATTCCAATCCTTTCTCAAAACTGCGAGAGTCACCTCTGTTCAAGAAGCGCGGGCCTTGTCACCGGAAGAGCTACGAGTGGCGAACTACATCCAGGTCTCGGGCTCTCAATGGGGTAGCTTTACCTAAATGACGGCTGGGGAACATGGGAGCAGTAGTCTGGTTTCAGACGGCTTGTCACCTCGGATTGGGTGATGCGGTCGGGCTTTTGAAAAGCACACTTTCCGGCCAAAAGACATGGTTCATCAAATGTAGTGCGCGCTAACATCAGCTCCGGTCTAGATTCTGGGTCTTTTCTTTGCAATCCAATGCGAGGTTCTGTAAACATTCTGTAGCATGCTCTCTGGATTTTGGATATACCCCACTCCACCATTTCTAATTTCACGCTTCTCAATATCAAAGCCCATTTTCTCAACGAGTATCAGCACTTCTTCGTCCGTCAACTCGAAAGCTCCCGGCTCTTCGATCCCGGTCTTTTCTCGCGGCCCCTCAGCCCTCTTTGAATGATCTTCCTCCGATGGTGCTCTGTCCGCAAAATGCCATAGCAAGGGCCCCAAATTGATCCATAATCCACCATCTTGCAAGCAATTACGTATAGTCTCAATATATCTGATAAGATTCGGAGCCGTATCGATGAAAAATACCGTAACCACAGCATTGAACATATCCTTATGTTCCTCGTCTCCATACAGAACTACGAAATCAGCAGCCGTCATACTCATCCGGTCAGCAGCGTTCGCCGTCGTATGCCCGAAGACATCCTCAAGCGCACTGCCAGGATGCACATCCGGCACCTTTACCTTCTTCAACTGATGTTCCCTACTCACCACGTTGGAAAAGTCGAGCGCAAATGGATACAAATCGAACTGCTGTCCCTTGACTGTATGATTTAGCACCCAATTTGACGCAATGAGTTGATGGTAGGAAATCTCATTGCCCTCAACGGTGTATCCTCTTCGACAGAGTTCGAACACTAGACGCCCCAAACCTGCGCCGGGGACTAAGATCTTTACATCGTGCTTGGAAGGAGAATGCCAGAAAGCTCTGACGACGTCCTGGATCACAGGCTCGTAGCAGGCTTTGCGTTCGGCGGCGCCTTCGTGCGACCAGTCGCGGTACAGTTGGCGGATCGTGGAGCGCGCTTTGTCGATGTCTGGAGGCTTGGCCGTGTTTCGCCAGTCGATCAGCCTCTGAGCCTCATTCTCGTCAGCGCTCCCGAAGCTAGAGGATGCGGGCGTCTCGAGACCAGTGGTAGACTTGAGGTTATCGATGCCGAAGGACAAGAGGGCTGTATTCATCATTTCGGAACCGATTTCGGCGTTGGCATCGATAGCGTCATCGACGTGGTCGAAGACTGAGAGGAGGTTGAAGGGTGGGGCGGCGAGCATTTGCCACTGGGAGGTGGGTAGAGCGTAGAAATTTTGTCGGCGGCGGTGCGTCACATTGTTATGGGCTATCTTTCGGTATTGGCTGTGTAACATGGATGAGCTTGGTTGAAGGCAGGGTGATTTTTCTAGATAGCAAAAGTAACACGACACACAACCGAAACCAAGAACTTGTTCAGACATGACACGATTAATGTAATGAAGATATACGAGAAAGCCACAAACGGATAAAATATTGAAGCAGCAGATACCCAAACCCTCTGCGGCGGCAATGGACTTACCGGAAGGAGTCGAGAGCAGCGAAAAGAACTCGTCGCTCTTCTGGGTCCGAAAATGGACTTGGTACTTCAGACTCATGAGCCATCTTCAATCAAATCCCATAACAGCTGCTTACGATAGACGAATGGAGAACGAGAAAGAGAGCGGAGAAGATCCAAGTAGCGATTTGCCCTCTTCAGAGCACTAATTTAGGGCGTAGGGCTGAGGGCCAAGCGCTGTTGACGACATGCCTTTACAGAACCCAGAAAAAGGCGCCTCTTTAGAATGATTGACAGTGTCTAGCATACGATACTTGACGTCTGGCATGCCCCTCATCATGTCCGCATCTTCAGATGCCCCATCCCTTCCGCAACCGCCGTCAGAACCAACAGCAACCGCCGCGACCTCGGCATCGCCTACGCTCCACCCCCAGCAGCTATCCGTCCCTCTTCCTCTCTCGCCGCACACGACCCTCCACGTACAGATCACACCCCTCCAGACATCCACAATGGTCTTCCTGACCACCACAGACCCATCCTCCACTTCCTCCCTTAGTGCCCTCGGATCATTCGTCTACTCTATGCCCAACGTACCCTCACCCTCTGCCTACTTCTAAATCTCCCTCCCAATTCGACAACGTGGCTGACATGGGCTGGCGTTCTAGCGGTTACAACCCTCTGAACCCCTCAGCACACCTCTCTATGCAGTCCCTGGAAGCATTGACTTCGCAACAAGAGTAGCTAAGATACTCGCGAGAAGAACGGGGTTGCCTGCATATGTGGGCTGTAGTGCTGTCTTTGGTGGCTCGGTCATTGAGGAGGAGATGGCGGCTGTGCGGCTTGCGGTCGAGGGCGTTATGGGGGTATTGGGTGAGGGCAAGCGGTGAGCATTGACCGCGGTTTGTCGTCCCGGAAAGCAGAGGGGGTGATGGCAGGCACAACCTGTTTGAATCAAAGGATCCAACGGCTCGAGAATTGAGCAAGAGGCTGCGGAAGCGTTGGTGCGGCTTGAGTACCACCTTCGAGAGGATCTGTCAATGGACGAGATCCGAGAGCGCCCAAACGAGATTTGACGCGTATGAGAAGTTGGAGCACACTCAAGCAAGACGATCAGAAGATGCCAAAAGTCCTATGGAGAGGAGAAAATTGTGCTGCGAGATTGTGGTCGCGATTGTGCTCCGTTTCTGTGTTACCAAATTTGGAAAGCTGCGATTTAGCTGCCAGTAAATTGAGCTATGCCCTTTGCAAGGTACCACCCGAGTGCGAGCTTAATAGGGGTCACTATCACGGTGAGATGCTTATTTTGCGGCAATAAACTTGTGCTTCTGCTCTTTGTCACTTCTTCTCGTTGGAAATATGTACAATGTTGTTATACGTTGATTCGCGCCACCTTTCTTGCCCCTGCAGACAACATAGTCCTTTTGACCCTATGAAAACGCACGCACTCCGTATTGTCTATGAGCAACATAAGGTAGTCTTCAAGATTAAACGCTCCCCTTGTCATCCTTGCCGCTATCCTTCGTTGTCTCTCTGGTGGTGCGTTTTGGCTGCTTCTTTCTGGGTTTCAGTAGGAGGCTTCAGGTTTGACGCAAGACCTCGTTGCTTCGTCGGATCGGTCGCGCTCGATTCACTACTATCATCGATGATCTCAGTCGGCATTCTACTTGTCGCTTATCTTGTGCGAGGTTTTTTAGCCTTCGGATCAGCCTTGGGATTCTGAGGGGGCTCGTCGAGCTTTCGCTTCCCAAGCTGCTTGTCCGATGGTTTCGTGGTTGTCGGCCCGGTCTCATCGTTTGCTGGCTTTGGCTTTTGTGTTTTATCAGTGTCGGAAGACGCAGACCGTAGTAGCTTCGGAGCGGTCAGACCTCTCACGTATGGCAAAGCGCCGATGAAGCCTCAAGCACCTTCATCCTGTGCTTACCCAGACTCGTCATCATCTGCCACCTCTATCACCTCAGCAACATAGTACCGAGAGATACCGCCAGTCCATCTACCCCTTGACCTCAGCCTCGGTGCCTCAACCGTGTTGCCTCTAGCCGCCCACAGGATTCTGAGCTGCTCTTGCAGCATGCTCCACTGAGAGAAATAATTATCTCCCAGATTCGTCTGCACGGGCTCTTGTCCAGTTAAGAATAAGAATTCCTGCACTGTGTTCGCAAGAGCACGTTGCAGTAAGGCTTCCTCTCGAGGATCTGCTGGCTGATCGTGGCGAGAGTCAAAGGGGTCTATGAGGCTGCTGGATACGCTGCCTTCGTCGTCGGTATCATCTTCAGAGGCTGGGTCACGGATGTAAGTCTCTTGAACGGCTTCGTCACCGTCTTTTTCGTTGGTCGAGCTGTCATCGTCTCCGCTAGCTGTTGCAACCGGATCCGAAGGCCCTGCATTTGCAATCCCCGAGCTCGGTCTTGCAACGGTCCCGCCCGTTCCAGCCGTCCTCTTGATCTTATCGATACGTTCTTTGCGAGAAGGAGCTTCGCTTATCTTGTCCTCGTTCAGCCCGAGCAAGGCGTAGTTCGCCTTTTGTTCAGAGGTTAGGTCTTGATCCGTGGCTAGATTTCTAGCTCTCTGCTCAGGTGTGCGGAGTGCGTCCATGAAAGTAGTTTGCCTGTCTCTGCCCTTCTTCGCGACCCAGCTGATAAGTCCGGCTCTAGTTCGGGCATTGCTCGCCCGCTTCGACAGAGCTCGCCTGTCAAACGTTGGGACCTTCCTCCCACCAGGCGCGTCTTTTGTCCACTCGCGTGCCTCGATATCAGACAAGGTGAGGCGGTCGTCGGACCTCATCCACGACTCTATTCTCAATCCCTCGACCTTGGAAGATATAGTCAGAGGGATCCGGAAGTTTCGGATCGGGTTTCCTGCGTAATCGAGGACGACACGCCCTTTGTACTTCATCACTCCGATTTCATATGTTGGGTTAACCCAAGGGTTTGGGCGCTCCCAGAGAGTGATGTTGTTAGGCCAAAACCGCCGGTCGCCCATGTCCCATGCTATCTGGGTGCTCTCCACGGCGGTGATATCCATGGGATGGCTGCCAGTTTCCGGCTGCCCGTTGACTGCAATCTGGTCAGCCTGATTCTTCCAAGAGCTTCACAACAACAAACCGTATCTGAGGCCTCCCCTCATACTCCCCTTCCTCAACAACTTCTTCCAAATCTCGTGGTGGTACACAGGCGTCTTCTGTTCGCCACCATCTTCGTCGTCGTCTTCATCCTCGCTGCTCTCGTCCTCTTCAGCTGCGTTGTCGCCCGCTCCCGGTCCTCTGTTAGGGAACGGGGCCGCACTCTGGCTCCCTTGAGCGCTCGTCACTGCTTCACCTGTTCAAGACAATGCGGTTAGCTACGGGTCATCGTTGATGTTGCCAAATTCGGTCCGGATCAAAACCTACCTGAAGCTCGTCGCGCGGCTCTGAGTGCGCGAGCAGCAGCGTTCGCCTGTGTTGAAGGCCCTGGTCCATCCATGCTTTGAGGTCTCGATGTGACGAGAACCGTGGCTTGGAAGGGATGTTGGCCTGGTGCGAGTCTCGACCGGGTAAGTAGCGACGGCAAGTAAGAGACAACCTTGTGTCAGTGTGGAAGGATCTTGACTTGGTAGGAGTCCCGACTGAGTAAGGAGGTATCTGCAGATGGCAAGTAGCAGAGAATGTAGTGTGGACAAGGCCGATTATGGAAGGTCTTGAAGGTGGTATGTAGAAGAGAGTATGGTGTCGAGTCGGAAATTTATAGCCATGCCGGACGCAGAGATTCACTCGCCGAACATGGTGTGAATATATACGGCGTGAATATATATGTATAACGTGATGGAGACGTTAACACAAGCCGGAGCTGTGACGCTAAAACTATAAGTGATGAAACGGTGCCGTGACATGAAAAATAAGCAACGACATGGAGACTAATAATGACAAAAACGGTGGAAAGTGACAATGGGATTTAACAACGACGAAGACTGCATTATGTGACAACGAGAACAAGCCGTGACACCAGAAACACACAATGACAAAGTGTCATTGCATTTGTATCGTGGTTTGCTTTGACAATGTGTAAAACAGTGATAACCATGGGTTATTTATACTAAACTATGGATTCAGAGCCACCACAGCAGTGACATTAAGACTTCACAATAGCCAGCTCATGTATTCCTTTTCAAGAAAACAACCAGATAAGTAATTTATTAATGAGTTTACAGCCACCACAGCAGTGACATTGATACTTCACAATAACCAACTCATGTATTCCTTTTCAAGAAAACAACCAGGGAAGTAATTTTTTCAATGAGTTTACAGCCACCACAGCAGTGACATTAAGACTTCACAATAACCAGCTCATATATTCCTTTTCAAGAAAACAACCAGAGAAGTGAAAATCACTACAAGCTACTGTCACTGCATCTTCTCAACTGCTAGGCTTCGCAGCCCTCGGTACTAGTGTCATAGTCTCAAGTCTATATCAACGCATAGTAGCACCTCATGCGTTTGAGGAAATTGATCCTCATTGTCTTTACACCATGTACCCCTTTTTCTAGCCCACAGCTAGCAGAGAACTGACAATGATAACATCGCGTGGCATCATCTCAGGCCGGCAGCCCACATTCTGGCGGTCGTTAGAGTATGGCTGGATAAGGTTTCATGCACTGCAGCGTGCTTGGGGCTGGCAATCTATGCAATGAGGAGATTGATGTTCGATGCCGTTGCATCTCGCGTCCCTTTGTTGGATTGACAATAGGCTTGCTTGTGGGTTTGTGTCACTATGTGATGGTAGCGGAGTGTAAGCTGGCAGCTTGCAAAGAGTGGTTTGGGGGGGGGAGTGTCGATGCGTTGTGTCGCATTGTGGGCGGATGGCCCGTGCTGTGATGGTTTTTGAATGAAATGTTGGATTCTGGGGGGGTTGTAGAATGTGCAATGGGAGTATTTCATGTTCACTGCATTTTGTACCTCACTTAAATGTATAATGATGGCATTTTGAACCCATCGTCATTATATTTTAAAACTTGTTTAAATTGTGGATATACGCAATGGTGACATTTTCAATCCATTGTCATTGCGTTTTGTGTCTTATCTGGGCTCAGGGCCTACACAAGAGTGACATTTTTTACCCTTTGTCACTGCATGTCATGTCTCATTTGGGTTGGTAGTCCCGGAAGCTTGAGGAGGATGTTTCCGCTCAATGTCACTGCTCTTCTTGAATCATCGATGAGGTTGGCAACGCGCAAGAGAACAATTCAGACCGGTGGCTAGAGTTCAGTTTTCGCTTATTAGTTGAACAATCGGGGAGAACGTTTCGACATCGGCCATTCTACTGATAAGGGGATTGAGCAAGACCGCAACATGGCCAATTTTTCTGTAGGTTAAACTTGAACGGGCATCTGAAAGCCGGGAAGGCACACTCTGCTCTGAACTCGCGGGGAAATCGTCTTCTGTTAAAGAGTGAGCCAATTGCCTTACGGCATGCTTTATTGGTTCATATCAGTCTGCGATAGAATAGGCATCTACGGTAATGCCAATGATTATTGAATTCGAAGCTGATAGCAAGCCGAGGGCTTGCGGTACCTATATAAAACGACTCGGACTATACTCCATGTAGCTCTTGGGCGCCAAGCTCCCCGCTAAGTTATCATGTCTCTCAAATGAAACAGAGGGATTGCTATCATGATACTCAGTGTCCTCAAAGTCGTCGTCACAATCCTTCTCAGAATCTCCCTCAGAACCCTCCTCTTCACTTGTTGAATCTCTCCGACCCAGTCGGCCCTCGGTAGGCTTGAAACGAGAATTACACCAAGTATCCCTCACCGATCGCCAGCTTCCATCTGGCCCAAGGTAGGCGGTGCTCCCGTGCGTGGCATCCATGTATCTACCAAAAATCTCACCCTCCCTGTCTCTCTCCTCACCGCCCACCTGCGTCCGCCAATCGTAGGCCCAGCGACCGATACCACCAGTCCATGCGCGAAGCTTGAAGAGAAACGGTGTCTCTTCTGCTGGCCTCTGTGACTTCCAGATGGGAGCAAATTGCGCCTGCAGCGCGTTCCATTGTGAAGAGTAGCTTTTGGTGGTAGCGGTGGGCTTCGGGTTTTGTCCAGTGAGCTTTTTGAAATGCTCGACTGTTTCTTCGAGGGCGTCTCTGAGGATATATGCCTCTTTGCACGTTTGGGGCACGTCGTCACGTGGGTCTGGCAGAGGTTGCGTTGGTGCTGGGGTCGTGGGAGGAGCTGGTGTAGGTTGAGGAGCTGGAGATGGGTGACGATGACGAGATGGTCGAGAGGTAGGTGAGACAGTGCTGGCAGGATCGGAAACTGTGTTGGGAGAGCTAGCATTCACACTTGCACTCGATCCAGCAGCTGCGTTTATAGAAACCCTCTTGCTGAGCGCCTTGAGAGTAGCGAGTTGATCGGGCGTCAGATCCCGATCGGTGGCCCGATTACTCGCTCTCTGCGCCGCCGTACGGAGCGAATCCATGTACGCTCTGGCCGCGAGTTTGGCGGCCTCATTGCGTGGGCGAAACGTGACGAGTCCCGACTTCGACCTGAAGACGTTCGTTCGATCCGTCAGATCTCCCCGTCTCTGCAATGGCTGCCGACCGCTCGGCGTGTTCCGTGTCCGGAGTCTGGCGAGGATGTCGTCAATGCGCAGACGGTGGATGTCCTGTCGGATCCAGGTCTCGAGTCGGAAGCCTTTGACGGCGGAGGAGATTGCGAGGGGCAGATTCCGGAAGGCTCTGATGGGGTTTCCGGCGTAGTCAACCATCAGCCGCCCGTTGAAGAGCAGATAGCCGATGGGGTAGGTTGGGGCTGATTTGGGGGACTCAGACCACAGGGTGAGGATTGGGGCTCTGTGAGCTCGAGTGGAACTCCAGTCACGCTGGCCTGGGTGGAAAGATGTGATGTCCATGGAACCGATACCATGGTCTGGCGGCTCGTAGGCTGTGATAGGGTCAGCGCATCCTCTGAAGTAGGAGAGTTTGGAGATATGTGCTTACTGTAGGCCCCTTGGCTGCTCATCAAGTGCACCAAGCGATTGTAGATCTCATGGTGGAAGACTGGTTGTTTTCCCCGTTCGCTTTGCGCTGACCCTGTCTCGGTGACCTGGTCTTCGTCTTCGTCTTCGCTGTCTCCGTCTTCTTCTCCTTCTTCTTCCACCAAGTCAACAATCTCTTCATCACGTCGGTCTCCTCCTTTCCCTGTTCAAGAAATCAATGTTAACGCTGTTTCATTAGGGTTGAATGAGAGGGGAGCTACCGTCACTCGTAGCGTTGACACAGTCTATCGAGGCGGTGTCGTTGTTACGGCTGGAAGACTGCATGATCCTCTTCATTACCTGCGGTGAGACATTTGATCCAATAGCTTTCCTTGCAGATGCAGACATCTTAGCCAAGTTGTCACATATTTGTCTGAATAAGATGTAGTGAGATAGAGTGAGCAGGAGTCAGATAGATTGAACTAGATGGATCAAACCCGAAATAGCAAGGTGAAGTGATGCGGTCTTGGGAAATGCTTACGGTCGAGATTTCAGCATATAAGAAAGTAGATTTGAGAAGTCAAATTCTGATGATCATGCACGTGTGCTCCTCGGACTGATTGGCTTCAAAGAAGATGGAAATGTTGGTGTACTTACCAAGTGTGGAGGAGTCTAAACAAGGACCAGGGAGCCACAACTATAGCTTTCTGATTGCTGTTTTGCGTGACTGCTATCACTGTGCTTCACAGACTGCGTATGGGTCACTCTTTTGTCTCGATCCACCGAAAGCGTTTTCCTTCACGGATTGTATTAGCTTCCGGTACTCCTTCACTCCGTATGTGCAGTCAAACAACTCCAACTCAAATCGCTATACTCCGGCACACATGGCCATGTCTGGAGACGATTGTTTCCTCGTTGTGTTCTCTAGACATTTCGCTCTAGGTGAGGAAACCATGTGACCTACTAATATATTTATATAGCCGAGTACACCCTGTTGTTTGATCAGGTATAGAGCTATCGTTCTGCACTAATCATGAGTTTAGGAACGACTTAGCCAGGCCACCTTTGCGTTCCCAGTGTCGTCGAAGCCATCTTTGGAACCTAATTACCTTAAGGGGAGATGCCGTCCAACTGTCAATGGACTTCCATTGATTCATTCACTGGCTCCCCAATGCTTACACTTTACTGCATGAAAGCATTCATGATATTGCTCCATTCACTTCGCACATCATATTGTGTCTCACGTGAAAGGCCAGAAATATCCTGCTGTCACTTCTGCTCGATCGCTCCGTCCACTATGCATGGATGGCTAGGGTAAAAGTAGAGGTTGGTAACCATGTGAGCGCAAGAGCTCTCTTTGCAAATATGTAGCCTGATGATCCCATTCTACCATTGATGAGCTGTGGACAAGCATCTAGCACTGCAACGTGCATCGTGAAGGGTGACCGATTTATTCTCATAATGGAACAGGCGTAGAAGGTAAAGCTTGCAGTCTCCTGAACCCGAATCAACATCTAAGCGGAAATCTCTTTGCATTTTTCACAGCTCGTAAATCTCGCGTAGACCCAAATTGTCACACCGCCACTGAAGCACACCACTGTCTGACTGGATAGGTGCGTTTGCTGAGCTCCTTGAATATAACGAAGTCCCTGGTAGGTTGATTCCATTCGACGAATTCGGTCAACCTCGCAATGACGATCTTGATGGGGCATTGTCCGCAGAAATCATGAGGCTTGATGATAACGACAACACGAAGTTCAGAACGAAGACCGCGACAAGCGCATTGCTTAGGTACGCCAGACAAAAAGACGGCATAACGTTGCAAGAAATGAAGAACGAACCATCGCCATTCCCTTTGCAGTTCACCGAGGGAAAGCCGGCTTATAGAAGCACTGGCGCTTATAGTGGAAACAAGCCATGCGAGATCACGAATGTCACAATGGAAATCATCCAGCGGCCATGATTGCAAGAGAAGTCACTTACTGCAACTGCGGAAGGCACGTTTGCGGCAATAGTATGATTGGGGATTTTAGAACGCATGTCGCTATATGCAAAAGGTGTTTTCCATGGCCTGTGGTAAGTGAATTCCCGTATCGCCTACTCCCGGGGTGTAATGCATGAACAGCTTTGCAGCTGTTTTGGTAGACTCTATCGTGATGTTGACTTGCCAAAGACAAGAGCTTAGGGTGGCGGATAGAGTAAAGCAGAAGGCGCTCATTGCAATACTTCTTGGAATTGTTTGCGCTGGAGGTTCAGTCCAGATCCCCTGGCTTGGAACAACAAATCAAGTTTCGTAGGCGGATGTCGACGGAAAAGTCGGACCAGGTAGCTGATGACATGAACATGACGCTGGTTAGCATTGATCATCTAAAAGCAGCATCGTATGCTCTTGCAACGTGGTATTGTCTCCGATAATCGGTGTTTTCTGTACTAGTAAAGGCGGACACCGGCCTTTCTTCCTTCCAGAACCCTCCTCGCATTCAACTGTATCTACCGATTACTCTTCGCTACCCGCTCCAGTTCATCCTTCTTTTTAATCGCATAGCTGTTGCTGCTTCCCTTAGCCGCATTGATCAACTCCTCAGCCAGACACTCAGCTACGCTCTTGACATTCCGGAAAGCTGCCTCGCGGGCACCGATTGTAAGGAGGGCAATGGCTTGGTTGACACGGCGCAAGGGGGAGACATCGACGGCTTGACGACGGACAGTACCGGCTGAGCCGATACGGGTGGAGTCTTCGCGGGGGCCGCAGTTGACGATGGCGTCGACGGCGATTTGGATGGGATTCTGGTCGGTCATTATGTGAATCTGAGGGAAAGCAGGTATCAGATAACGTCGCTAAGATGTAGGAGGAGCCAGTGTAGATTTATGAGGGTGGGGAGAAGTCAGGCTCACGATTTCGAAAGCATGAGCAACGATGCGGACAGCCATCAGCTTCTTGCCGTTGTTGCGGCCGTTCATCATGAGAGAGTTGGTGAGGCGCTCGATGATGGGGCAGTTGGCCTTTCGGAAGCGCTTGACGGCGTAGCGGCCAGCGGAGTGGGAGATGTAGACAGGGGAGCGGATCTGGATGTAGTCGCTGTGGGAGAAGATCTAGTGAGCCAAAACCCTCGCCAGCCAGCCGTCCGGTTAAGGAAGGAACACCCAAGCCCAAGGTATCTGCTGCTCTCTGCCCTCGCAATCTTTAGGCGCCAGATAGGGTACTCACGTCAATGAGATATCTCGGACTTCGACATCCTCGTACGACCACTTGTTGAAGAGCTTGATAGAGCCAATCTCTTCGGTGACGTCTTTGGGCAAGACCATATACCCGCTGGGGTTTTCGACCTCGACCTCGGCGGTATCAGACATGCTGGGCGACTGTTGTTGATGTCGTTGTGTTGCTTCAAGTCTGGGAGTGTGGTCGAAAGCATTTCGAACTTCGCTTAGCGGAGGTGTGGGCACTAGTATGCTTTTGGCACTAGCATGGATCTTGTAATCTTATCTTTTGCCTCGGCATCTTCGACAAGGACTATGGTTTCTTCCTACCACGGGATGACCGAAGGGTTTTAGAAGCCACAGTGGCGGAACCTCTTCTTCTTATTCTACATAGCCATTAATCTATATACCCGAGCTCTATAGAGCAACAACGCTGCCCGTAATGCCCAGCCCGACGCTCATAAGACCGCCTCCAGCGGACACCTCGAAGTCCGCGATGGAGAACGTCCTCGAGCTCATTACCCTTAGAGACATTGGCCCGGTAAGGACTGCAATTGCTCGACGCTAGACTGGGACTAACCAATGCTATCTAGGACATATTCACCAACGCTCGGTAAGACTGTTCATGCTCCCCTGTTCCCCTGGTCCGCGCGCGTCCCTTCGGTGCGCTGACATGACACGACCAGCGAGCTATGGCACCCTCCAGGCGCTCGCGGTGTCTACGGTGGCGCTGTAATAGCTCAATGCCTCGCTGCAGCGCAACATACTGTCCCACCTCCTTCTCCAGCAAACGACAACGCAGTGTTTCTTATTCACAGCATGCATTGCTACTTCGTGCTTGCTGGGGACTCGACAATACCAATTCTGTACCACGTAGAGAGAGTAAGAGAAGGGAGAAGCTTCGTCACAAGAACAGTGCAAGCTAGGCAGAGGGGAAAGTGCATCTTCACTACAACCTTGAGCTTTATGCGTGAGGGTAGTGGCGGGGAAATAACGGTCGATCATGGCTGGGATATGCCTGAGGGCGTGAGAGAGGGACTGGAGCAGATATTGCAAGAAGAGGATGATGCTAAGGATAAGGAAAGTGCGTCTAACGGAGTGGAGGCGGAAGGTCCTTTCGTCTCGAAGAGACTAGGCATAACCAACAGTAGGTAGTCGTCTAGCTTGTCCTCAGCATGGAGGAAACGGGAACTCAAAGCTGACAATGATTTCCACCAGACAGTTCACCCTACCCACACCACCGTAAACCACAAGCTTGGATACAATGCCGCGGCGCCATTTCTCCATCCGGCGGCCAGCACGCCCATCTCTCAGCCCTCGCTTACATGTCCGACAGCTGGTTCATCGGCACGGTCTCTCGGGCTCATCATCTCATGCGCGAAAATCATACTCTCTACAACAGGACCTTCCCACAACATCAGGATAGCCCTTCTTCAAAACGGCAGACTGAATCAGAGGCCAGAAAATCATCCAAGAACACATTCGAGACACCCAAACGCTCGATTGGTATGATGGTAAGCTTGGATCATACGATATACTTCCATCGGCCGAGGGAGGTCAAGGCCGATGAGTGGATGTGTACCGAGATGGAGACGCCGTGGTCGGGCGAGGGGAGAGGGCTGGTGATGCAGCGGATTTGGAATAATGAGGGGAGATTGTTGGCTACTTGCGTACAAGAGGTAAGTCTTGCACAATCCGTACATATCGTCCATTGCTGTGCCAAATTGGCTGACGTGGACGTGCAGGGTTTGGTGCGTTTGCAACAAGAAGATCCTTTGCCGAAAAGCAAACTGTAATCATCTTCCATCTCCGCAAATGTCCTTTTGGCGGCTCCAAGTTTTCAACATTTTGAGGAAATCAACGTCCGTACAGATCTCGATAGTATATATGTCTAGATCGCGCATGACAGATCCTCAGTCGTACAAGTTCGTCAAGCCCGCCAGCGCTGGTCCCCCTGCTCGTGATTGCATCAGGCCATCCGCCTAGAGAGCGATCCAGACAGGAAAAAACTGCAATCTTGAAAGCCAGCTGCGCTTGTCTTGCTCGATGCAGTTGCACAATCTGGCTGGCTAGGAATCTTGACTCGTCGGCCAGTTGCTGACGTGTTCTCAAGCTCGCCTGGGTCTGCGGGCTCGATGGGTCGCTAGATCGACTCGCTGGGAAGGTTGGTCTGGTGGGTTGGGGATGGGCGAGTGCTGTTCTTAAATGAC